AACTGAGGTACCCCCACACTATTCAGAGGAAACATTAAGAACAGTCCCACTTCGTCACAGAGGCTGCTAGACAAATCTCTGACACCACATTCTACAGGCCATTACCCTCTGACCCCACTGAGGATTACCAAAAGAAACTACACCATCTGCTCAAGAAACTCCCTAAAGAAGCACAGGAACAAATCTACAGTGACACACCCCTAGAGCCCTGACCAGGGGGATTCTATCTGCTACCCAAAATCCATAATCCTGGAAATCCTGGACGCCCCATCATCTCAGGCATTGGCACCCTGACAGCAGGATTGTCTCGCTGTGTAGACTCTCTCCTCAGGCCCTACACTACCAACACTCCCAGCTATCTTCGAGACACCACTGACTTCCTGAGGAAACTACAATCGTTTGGTGATCTTCCTGAAAACACCATCCTGGCCACGATGGATGTAGAAGCCCTCTACACCAACATTCCACACATAGATGGACTACAAGCTGTCAGGAATAGCATCCCCGATACTATCACAGCAAACCTGATGGCTGAACTTTGTAACTTTGTCCTCACCCACAACTATTTCAGATTTGGGGACAATTTATACCTTCAAGTCAGCGGGATTGCTATGGGTACCTGCATGGCCCCACAGTATGCCCACATTTTTATGGCTGACTTAGAACAACGCTTCCTCAGCTTTCGTCCCCTAACGCTCCTACTCCACTTGTGCTACACTGATGTCATCTGCATCATCTGGACCCGTGGGAAGGAGGCCCTTGAGGAATTCCACCAGGATTTCAACAGTTTCCACCCCACCCTCAACCTCAGCCTGGACCAGTCCACACAAGAGGTCCACTTCCTCGACACAACAGTGTTAATAACCGATGGTCACATAAACACCACCCTACTGACTGCTAGACTTACCTACATGCCTCCAGCTTTCATCCAGACCAAATCACACAATCCATTTTCTACAGCCAAAACATACTCCAATGTGAAACTGTAGAACTGGAATTAATTTGCAAACTGGACACCATCACATTAGTCCTGAATAAAGACTGAATTAGGGCTGGTTGGGTCATTACAAAAGCGAAACCTAATTTTCCTCATACTAATTTCCCCCTACTGTTACTCACACTTTCTTGTCAACTGTTTGAAATGGGCCACTCTCACTAACACTACAAAAGCGATGTTTCTTCCCTTTGTATCCTACTGTTAGTTGAATTGTCTCATTAGACTGACCTCACACTTGGAAGGCAACTCCCATCTTTTTATGTATTTATACCTGCTCCTGTATTTTCCACTCTAATGCAGAGGGGAGCCTCTGAGGTCAGAGTCTCCTTTTTATTGCACATTATTGAACTATTGCCTGACAGACGGACCCTGAGTCAGGGCACCAGCGACGCGGAGCCTGTGTGCCCCAGAACACACTGACAGGGAACAGTCATTAAACACCCCGCTGCCTGTGCTGACCAAGCTCAGGGGATCTGAGACGCTTCAGGTGTGGCTCTGTAGGGAGTTCCAGGGTAAGGTGCATAATTCCCTGCTCCGCTACAGACTCCCTGTGTGGCCTTAGGCAAGTCACCTAGGCCCAGAGTTTCCAAGGTGTTTTGATGTCTATGAGGCAGATAGGCGCCTACTGGAATTTTCAAAGATGCCTGGGCACTTAGCTTCCAATGGGATTTAGGCACGTAGGTGCTTTTGAAAATCCCACTAGATTCCTAACTACATCTTTAGGTGACTACAGACATTCCAAACTTTGCCCCTTAGTCTCTGTGCCAGATTTGCAAAGCTATTTAGGCTCCTAAAGATGCAGACTGGAGCCTGGTGGGTCTTTCAAAAGTGCCTGCGTGAGTTAGGTGCCTGACTCCCCATGAATTCCCTTTAGCTCCTGCCCCTTCTGCATTCATCCCATGCATATTCCATCGACGGCGCTTGCCAGCAGGAATGTCCATGCAAACAAAGGATTTCTACTAAATGTTATAAAATATTCCTGGGAAGCAATCTCTGACCATTTAGGCCCCCGACCCAACAAGGTCCTTAAGTATGTGTAGAAATTTCAGCAAGCAAGGAACCCCACCAAAGCATTAATCACAAATATTTGCACCAAAAACCTGTTTCTAAGAGTTAAATTCAGCCAATCAAGAAACAGAAACAATCCCATGTGACCTGTGTGTGCAATCATAACTAACCCCACAGAAATCAATGTATATGACAAATGTATTTGAACAAATAAATGTGAGAAAATTGTGATCAGTGTGTGGGCAGCTGACAAACAGGAACAGAAACTGAGCTCACTGGACACGTCACATTCTGCACATTATTTCCCCAGCTCTGTTTTCAGACCTTCTGTCCTCCCCCGCCCCCTGCCCCACCTGGTCTTGGTCTCTTGACTTTTATTTATGCCTTTACTCTGCCTGGAGAATTACTGTTACTATTTATTCCATATTATTTCTGTAGCTCCCTCAGTACCCTGGGCATGTTGTATGGTCCCTGCCCTGGGTGCTCCCAAGCAGGGCTGGTCTCAGGGGCTCACCAATGGGTGTATGCAAGGAGAAGTCTGCAGGCCCAGGGCAATAGGTCAGGGTGGGCATCCAGGCATGGAGGCAGGTGCAAAGATAAAAGAATATAGGGTGGGGTATAAGTTAGGTAAGAGGCTGAGGTGTGGAGAGGGTTGAAGAGCTTCCTGGGCTCCCAGGTCCCATTCGCCCATCCTGGATCCCTTGCACACACAACCCTGGGGCTGGGCTCTCCCTCCCTTCCCCAGCTCTCCCCACTCCCCATCCCCACCCCCTCCCTCCATTGCTCTGGGACCAGTTTCCCTGACACAGCTAAGTTGGCAGCACAAAGCAGCCTGTACAGCAGGGCCTGGCGCTCTCACTCTTGGCCCCTGTGGCTGCTTCACTCCTCACCATGGACAATGAGTCCCTCGGGCAGTAAATGCCGGGACATTCCCTGTTGCTCACTGGCCCCATCGCACTCACTGGGATCCTGGGCTCGGCTTGTCTTTGGGAGTCAGACCATGCAATTATTGGTCCTGACGGGACCTGGGAATTCCCCCAAGCCAGGCCTGGAGCCGACCCCACTGGGCTTCTCCGGGAGGCTGTGGGGGGGGGGAGGCTTTAAAATGAGGGGACTTAGGTCTTCCCTCTAGAATATTCTGAAATCCCACTGCAATTTTCTGAATTTGACACAATAATAAAAAAAGAGGACAAACAACACAAGAGGTCCCCTGGGGGGCCCCTCGGGGGGGGCAGCCTGTTGTGGGGTGGCCGCGGCGTCCCGCGGGAATTTTCAAAGATGCCTGGGCACTTAGCTTCCAATGGGAGTTAGGCACCTAGGTGCTTTTGAAAATCCCACTAGATGCCTAACTACATCTTTAGGTGACTACAGACCTTCTAAAATCTGCCCCTTAGTCTCTGTGCCAGATTTGGAAAGTTATTTAGGCTCCTAAAGATGCAGACAGGAGCCTTGTGGGACATTCACACCTGCCTTGTAAGCCGATTTATATTTTTTAAAATAATGTAAAAGTGGACTGGAAACAGGAAGCGTTTAACAGTTTCCCTCTGTTCCACAATATCACCATCATAAAAAAAATGTATTTAACTAAGAATATCAACTTTATTAATACGCTTTTGAATACAGAAACAACCCAGCACTCTTGGATCAATAGCCCTCAAAAGCAAACACTTTCTAAAATTAAAACAAAATGTCGCCCCTTCTTTTGCGATGTTCTTCAGGAGGCAGCAAACACTTTTCGTCGTTGTCCAGTGGGGAATGGGGCTGCCCCTTGCCCAGCCTGGGGCAGGAGTGGTAACTGCGGAGGCGAGGGGGGAGGGCAGGGTGTCACGACACTCACCCAAGCCCCAGGTGCTCAGGTCCATGACGCCCCCTCGCCTCCCTTTTGGTGGGTGACAGAAGGTGGTGGGGGGCTGCGGCCACGTGTGCACCTCTTCCCCGCTGCTGCCCCTCACCATAGCATCACTGGGGGTGGGGGATGGGGCATCTCCTTGCCAAGCGTGGGGCAGGAGAGGTGACTGCGGGCGGGGGCACGAGTCCAACACAGACCCATGCCCCAGCCGCGCAGGTCCAGACTCCAGGAAGCCTCCTCGGAGTTGGAGTCGTCTCCCAGTAGGTGCCAGGGGGGCTGCCATCACATGTGCACCTCCTCCTCTCCCCCCCTCCGCAGGTGCAGCAGCCACCTCAGCTTGCCGCCCGCGCCGGTCCCTGTGTTGTAGCCAGCAGCGGCCGGTGAGGGAGCACTGCGCGGAGCAGCTGGCGGGGCCGGGGGCGCTCCAGGGGAGGCCCATGGGGGCAGCAGGTGGGGCTGGGGCAGAGACCTGGCCCCAAACATTGGTGGACCCAGGCTCCCAGGCCCTGAATATTGCTGGAGCACGAGCACCAAGGGCCCATGTAACTCGCCGACCCTGCAAGGTGTATTTATGCAAGTTCTCAGTTGCAGAAATTTGTCCTGTATTTATTTACTTCTGAAAAACACCAAAAGTTAGATTCTGACTGTGTGGAGACATCAACTATTACAGAAACCACATTATAATGTTTACTTTGCTTACTATAGTTGGGATTATAATAAAAATGTCATAGGAAAGATCCAAATGAGAACTCTAGCCTGTGTTCTTGCACATAAGTTGTTAAAACCTGGGAATTGCTGAGAGCAGATTTAATCAGGCTCTATCCAGTGTCCCAGAAGCTATACCAGTATGTACTGACAGCTACAGATGATTTTTCAAAATAGGTAGAAGAATTTTACACTTAGAACTATGACCGCACATGATGTGGAGAAGAAGACATGTGAAATTATATATTAACATGGCTGTCCAGAGCAGATACTGGCAGATCTAGGTTCTGAACTGAATAACGAGGTAACAGTTTACATTTGATGTTATTTTCACTATATGGTCAATTGCACAATCATGGCCGTGTGACACAGAGCTTCAGCAGACCATGCCACCTAAAAAGCAGCAGACTGGATAAAAACACAAATGAATCCATCACAAGATAACATTAGGGTATTTATTTTCAAATAATCAAGGTAAGTTTCGGGCACTCTGCCATGGATGGCGTATTGTGAATAAATCTTCAAAACTGAATGATGACACTGAAAATCTTCATAACGCGTCACGTTTAAAACAAAAAGTGGTCCTAGCAATGCCATGTGATGTGCCTCCCCTCACACTCTGCTCAGCCAGCTCTTCAAGAAATTAGGTTCAATCGCTAACATCAAGGAATTGGACCAATCGGTCACTATTTGTACAGAGCATTCCAGAAGGTGGTGGACAGAACCCAGAGGAATTGTGATGAATTTCCTGGAGCAACTTTCTTTTCTTTGTACTCTAAACCTCACATGACAACAAAAATAGCACCCTTTTGACTGATTTATGGCCGAGAAGAAAGGTCTCCCAATAAAACGTCACCAAATTTCATGTTATGTGTCATTAAGTGCCAGCATCTTTACTACAATTAAGTTAATTTGTGATGATTCAGTAAAGGAATACAACCCCTTCTCTATTTCTTTATCAAACTGCATTTGTTGTGTCCTTAGAACCAAGAACATGGAAAGCCTGGCAGTACTCTGAAATCAACAGTGGACACTGACAGGACATTCCCTGCAAATAATATTTCTAAAGAAAAATAAACCACAAAAATGAGATTGTAGAAGACATTTTTGTATTTCGCAGGGGTAGGCAACCTATGGCACGTGTGCCAAAGGCGGCATGCAAGCTGATTTTCAGTGGCACTCACACTGCCCGGGTCCTGGCCAAGGGCCGGGGGGGCTCTGCATTTTAATTTAATTTTAAATGAAGCTTCTTAAACATTTTAAAAACCTTATTTACTTTACATACAACAATAGTTTAGTTATATATTATTGACTTATAGAAAGAGACCTCCTAAAAACGTTAAAATGTATGACTGGCACACAAAACCTTACATTAGAGTGACTAAATGAAGACTCGGCACACCACTTCTGAACGGTTGCCGACCCCTGGTATCTAAGAATACAGCACTTGAGGTTGGGGACCGCGTTTTGTGAGAAAAAGCAAGGAAGGGTCATATCTTGATTACCGATTATATTCAGTTAGAAAGTGAATTAATGCTGACAGAACTCCAAAGAATATTATATAATCTTGTATGAGTGAATTTAAATATATTGCTTCATTAATTCTATCATTTTTAAGCTATTAATTTTCAAAGGTGCAGTGCAGGAGGTGGGTGTATGTGCCCTGCCTCCCAGAGAGAACCAGTCAAGACAATAAAGGGGGGGTTGGGGGGAGAGAGAGAGAGAGGAGGAGAGCGAGAGAGCAGCTGCACATGTGTGTAGTTGTGATGTTTATGACACACGTACATTGTAATTGAACAACCCCGTCTGACAGTTTAATAGTTTATTTTGTGAAGATAAATATTTTGGATTTTCTGAAATTCCACAGTTGAAATACAAATGATGTTATTGAGAAAAGTTAAACTTCAATACAGATTTCAGGGAAGAATAAAAAAATAAATGTAAATAATTCCATTTCTAAAAATATGTTTAGATGCCTTTTTTTGAAATACTGTGAAATTTAAATTAAAGTATTCTTGTATTTACCCCTTGTTACAATAATATTTTCTAAATTAGAATAATCTTTTTTATTTCCTATTTTACATTGAGAGTTCACAAGGGTAGAAAATTCTGGCAGGAGTGAATGACCCCATCCCCCACCATCTGCTACCCCCGGGGCAGGGGACGGGGCAAGGGTGAGGGCTGGGGGTTGCCAGGTGTCCGGTTTTCGACTGGACCCTCCAGTGGAAAAGGGAAACTGGCAGCGTCCGGTCAGCAGAAAAACTCCAGTAGCTGCAGTAACCGGCCCCCCGCACAGAGGAGCAGCAGCGCTGGGGGGGTCGCTCTGAGCCGCGGGGTCAGTGTCAGGGACCGAGATTCCCCCCGGCCGGAGCCGGGACCGGGCAGAGGATCAGGGGAGCCGCGTTTCTACCCCCAGCGTTGAGACCGGGATAGAAATAAGGGCGGAGCGTCCCGGAGAAGGTGTCAGTGAACGTGAAGAGATGGGACCCGTCAGTCACATTGTAAAACGAGACCTCGCCCGCCTCATAGTCCAGGAAAATCCCCACCCGGCCGGGCCGGACGCTCACGGGGAGGGGGGTCGGGGGGAGGTGAGGGCCTTGTATCCCCCGTCCCTCAGCCACACGGCCCAGAATCCATTCCCAGGTGTGAGTGTGACCCACCCCTTCCTGCTCACAGATTCCCGACAAACCCCCAGATTCCATCTTGTCTTGTCTCCCACCCCCACCTCCCAGTAACGCCTCCCGCCCGCGAACCCCTCAGCGCCCAGGACAAGGGCACAATTATCAAATCTCTCAGGCTTGTCGGGCAGATCCTGGCGTGTGTCTCCGCGTCTCACACGTTTCCGATCCTCAGACAGGACGAGCTAGGGATTTGCCGTGTCTGGATCCAGAGTCACGTCCACTGGGGAGAGAGTCACAGAGTCAGGGCCGGGGGCGGGGGCTGGTCACTGGGATGAAGGGAAATTAACCTGCGTCCCCGTTAATCGCTGGGGGGGGGGGGTTGTTGCCTGAGGGGAGTCAGGGCCCCTCTGCCTGTGAGGAGACAATCGGGGGGAAGGGGCAGGAGGAGCGGGGGAGGGGTGCGAAGGTGTCAGTGGGGGCGGGGGGAGGGGAGAGGCTGATGCTGGGAGAGGAAAGGGGAGGGGCAGGTGACAGGAGCAGAGGGGGGAGGGGTAGAGGGGAGGGGCAGGTGACAGGAGCAGAGGGGGAGGGGTAGAGGGGAGGGGCAGCACAAGGGCAATGTGGGGACAAGGGGAGGGGCAGGCACCATAAGAACAGAGGGGGGACGAAGGGCAGGATCCAGGGGGCTGCAGGGGGTGGGGGGAGGGGTGGGCTCCATGGGAGAAGAAGGGGATGGACCCCAGGGGGCTGCGGGGGGCAAGGGAAGGGGCAGGCACCAGGGGGCAGAGGGGTGTGAGGGAATGGGGGAGCTCCAATGGGGCAGGGGAAGTCAAGGGGAGGGTGAGCTGCCAGGGGGTGAGATGATGAGGAGTGGGGAGGTGGAACCATGGGGGGGAGCGAATGGGCAGGCACTGGTGCTGGGGGGCAGAATGGGGGGTGAGGGAGCAGGTGAGCGGAAGGGGGCAGAGAGAGGGGTGTGGAGAAGGGCAGGACCTAAGGGGGCAGAGGAGTGTGAAGGGAGATGTGGGCACCAGGGGGGCAGAGGGAGGATGAAGGGAGGGGTGGGACCCAGAGATTAGGAGAGGGGGAGGGGAGGGGTGGGGCCAGTGCTGAGGTGAGGGGAAGGGCAGAGACCAGGGGTCCAAAGGGGGGCGAGGGGAGGGACTTGCACCAGGCGGGCAGAGGGGGCAAAGGAAATGGCAGGCACCAGGGAGGCAGAGGGGGCAAGGGTAGAGCTGGGATTTGGGGCAGAGGAGGAGCTGGCATCAGGGGACTAGAGGGGTGGTGAGGGGTGCAGGTGTCATGGAGCCAGAGGGCGAGTGAGAAATAAAGAGAAGGTGGCATGGATGATGGTGGCAGAGGGGCGAGAGGAGAGTGGGGTCAGTGGGGCAGAGGGTGGTGAGGGGGTAGGCACCAGGGAGGAAGGGGACAAGGGGAGGGTCAGGTTTTTGGGGGGGGAAGGGGGAAGGAGGGACGGGGTCGGCGGGGGATAAGGGAAAGGGTACGTGCCAGGGGGATTGAGGGGGTTGAGCAGAAGGGCAGACACAGGGAGGGCAGAGGAGGGGAGGGACAAGCACCAGGGGGCAGAGAGGGGCAAGGAGAGAGGCAGGGGCAGGTGGGTAGAGGGAGGTGTTAGGAGACGGCATTGGGGAGAGGCAGGTGCCGGGGGGTCAGAGTGGGGCTAGAGGAGGGGTGGGCACAGGGGGGTGAGGGAAGGGTGCGTGCCAGGGGTCAGAGAGGGTGGGGAGAGAGGCAGGTGCCAGGAGGGCTGAGGGGAGTAAGAAGGGCAGAAGCCAGGACAGCAGAAGAGGGTGAGGGGTGGGACGGCCATCAGGGGGCAGAGGGGGAGAGAGAAGTGGCAGGCACCAGGGAAGCAGATGGGAGAGAGGGAAGGGGCGGGAGACATGGCAGCAGAGGAGGGAAAAGAGAGAGGTGGATGCCAGGACATAGAGGGGGTGTGAAGTGATGGGTGGGCTCCAGGGTGCAGAGGATGTTTGAGGGAGAGGGGAAGGTGCCAGGAGGGCAGGAGGGGAAGGGAGGGGGTTTCCAGTGGGGCAGACGTGGGTGGAAGGCAGGGGCACGTGCCAGGGAGGCAAAGTGGGGGACAGAGCGGCCTGGGGAAGCAGAAAGTGGGTGGGAAGAAGGGGAGGGGCGAGGAGGAGGGGTCAGAATAGGCGGGGGGGGGGGGGGAGGGCAGGGTCCAGGTGGGCACAGGGGTGAGAAAAGGGTAAGGGAGGGGCAGGAGCCAGAGGGGTGAGGGCGAGGCAGGCCCCAGGGAATCTCTCTTGCTTTGGGGTCATGTGTGGTTGGTTTCTCGCTAAGAGCAGGTTGGTGCAGGCCCCACACACACTGGGGGTGCAGCCCTGCCCCAGGGGGCGCAGCTGGGACTCTCCATGCTGGCGGGCCCCACGGGCCCCACCTTCCAGCCAGTCTGCCCCTCAGTCTGCCCCTTCCCTCTCTCCCATCTGCCCCACAGTCTGCCCCTCCCCTCTCCTGGCCCAGCCCGTCCGCCATGGGGCAGTGGTCTGGGTTGGGCTCACTGGGGCGGCCGTGCAGTGGAGGATTCTGGGGTGGGGGATAAATGCGTACTAATAGGCCGTTGCTAATGAGGCCAGGGCAGTGGGGGGGACGGGGGCATTTCCCCGCTTACTGCCCCCTCCATCTGGGAGAAGCTGCACCAGGCACCAGTCCCAGTTCACATCCGCACAGCCAGTCTGCCCTGGGGGTTTGCACCGGTGCAAGGAAACCCCGGCAGACATGGCCAGAGACACTGGTGTGCCAGGGGCCGTAACCCTTCCCGTCACTGGGGTTATGGATCAATAATTACAGGGTGACTGGAGCAGGGGAGCTGGACTCTGGGTCTCCCAGGTCAGGGCCCGACACCCTGGGCTGCAGAGTCACTCTCACTCCCACGCTCTGGCCCAATGCCCAGGGCAGTGTTTAGACACAGGGGGACGTCATCAGACCCCCAGAGCCCAGCAGCTCAAGCCCTCATGGCGTCCCACGGGGGGATGGAACCGGGGGCTCCCCGCTGAGGGCCCAGCCACGGGGCTAAAGGCTGGAAGGGAAGCGGCGGCACCTTTCTGTTCATTGAAACTCGTCAGCAAACTCGACATGAATTTGCGAATAGTTTCTGTCGACCCGAAATATAATTTTGCAGCAAATAAACTATTTGTCCAAAACATTTCACCCAGCTCCATTTCAAACATGTCCCAGCAACTGAGGAGCCCAAATCCCAGTGACTTGCAGTGAGTGACTGTCAACATCCCCAGACACGCAGTTACGGGCAGGTCAGACTCAGGACATCAGCTATGAAACACTCCAGAGCTGCCATTTAATTTGCCCTGGGTAAAAAAATTCCCCCTGAGCCCCTGATCTCGCCCCCAAAATCAGGCTGAAAATGGAGACCCCCACAAATCAGCCTGAACTCTGCCCAGAGCGATTGTCCCATGGACGATGCTGGTGGCACAGACCCTCTGCAGCTGCACCTGGGCGTCTCCCAGAGCAGACAATGGTCACAGAGACCGTCCCAGAGCCCCAGGGGCCCCGGTGTCTCCATCTAACGACTGCGCCAGCCACCCCCCTCGCTCTCATTAACCAGCCCTGGATCAGACGCGCTGGGAACTTTCAGACCCAGACTCTGGACACACTCTGGGTTCATGTACACAGCCCGCCGCAGCGAGTCTCTGAACGGGGTGGACAGATTCAGGCTTGTGGGGCTCCCTCTTTGGCACTAAAAATAGCCACGTAGACGTTCACGCTCAGGCTAGAGCTCAGGCTCTGAAGCCCAGCGTGGAGCCAGGTCTGCCCCTCACAGCGCAAGCGGGGACATTGTCTGTGTCCACGTCCCCTTCACCCCATTCCTGGGACTGGAACAGCAGCCCCTGGGTCCCTCCCTTCACCCCCAGAGCAGGGGAGCGAGAGTCCTTGGCCTTCTGGGCAGTGGGGCCTCCCAGCACCGATTCCTGGGTCAGTGAGAAAGTGTCTCCACCTGGAGAGCTCTGTGCACCCGGCAAATACACAGATGTGCCCATGGATCAGGATCCGGGATGGTCCTCTCCCCAGGAATGATGGAAGCTCCCTAAAAGTAGAGGGGCCACTGGTGCCTGAACCATGGCCCCGCTCTCCCGTGTGGGTCCTTCTCCTGGAGCTCCTGCCCCCGCACCACCCCTTCTCCCCGAACCCCTGCCCTCACACAGCCCCTTCTCCCCGAGCCACGGCCCTCACACTGCCTCTTCTCAAGACCCCACCCCCGCACCGCCCCTTCTCCCCAAGACTCCACCCCCGCACCGCCTCTTCCCCCCCAACACCCTGCCCCCATGGTCGCTCCTCTCTGCCCCCTCCCGCCCCCCATCGCTCACCCTTACAGCCGGTAAAAAGTGGGAGACCTAGCCCTCCTATCAGTA